ACTTTTAATTTTTTTTTTATGTCTACGTTAATTCTTATTCAAATCTAATTGAGCCATCATTTTAATGATTATCTTTTCTTTCCTGTGGGAAAAATAAGAACATCATCCAGAAAAATAAGCAAAAAACGTTATGAAGAAAAGAAAACTTTATTTACACAGGATTCAAAAAAACATATAATTTGTGATTTATTATACCCATAATAATTTGAAAGGTAGACACAAACAAAATATGTCTCCTCTTCATTGATATAAGCTGTTTCTCTTCCAGTTATGATAGGACATTTGACTGCTTGCAAGAAGCAATGGATCCCTTTCATTTCAAATCTTGGCTCCAAGATGGACGGGTATCGTTAAGATAAAGTGTCATTCTACTTATTGAGAATCTAGGAAATTTCAAACCAAAATGAATGATTTTAAACGATTTATATGGCTTTTCATAATTGAGAGCAGGATAACATACGGGAAACAATATCCGCTCAAAATAAAATAGCATGCAGTAAAACAATTAAATATAGGTACGTAAATTAAATAAATGTTTTATTTTTTAATTTCATCTAATTTAATTTCTTTTTAAAATACAATAGAACAAAAAGAATCCAGAGAATTTTTGTCAGTATTTTGAAGAAAAAAAAATTTTAAATTTAATTTCAGGAACATAAAAGTTTCAGAACCGATTTAACCTAATTTAAAAACCATTATTATTTTTTTTTTTACTGCAACGTTTCAATAAATTTGTCTATACATTATGTTTATTTTTTTACTATTAACACATAATTATACATTATATTATATATTATATAACGCGCATGTTTGCCCTCTCCTGAAATTTTATTGCTGTCCCCTTCATAAAATGATGCAAGCAAAAGTAGAGCTATAAAAATTGTAGGTTTTCTCTTGTTCCCTAGTTTGAAAATCCCTCCAAAAATATAGTTCCCTCCACAAACTCATAACTCTGTGATAATGTGACCCCTCAAACATTTAGAACCCTGTAAAAATGTTTAATATTCGTCCAATCCAATTAATATATTGGATATTTAAACTATATTGAAATATATTTTAATAACGGATATTTAGATAAATATTATTATAAAATTATAAAACATTATAAACAACATTACAGAAAAAATATATTTAACTTCTTTCAAATCCGACGTTGAAAATTAATCTTTTAATATAATGTTAAGTCATTTTATCTTTTCATTTCCTTTTTTATTTTATTTCATTTTTTATGATTAATATTCTAATACTAATCAACGCTAATTAAGTAGTTGTTTTGATAATAATGATCTTAATGATTTGATTTATCTTTCTTATTTTTTTCATTTTTTAAACCATTATATTGATTTTAATGGTTAATGACTAAGATATTAAATACAGATGACTAATCGTACAAAAATAATCCGGACATTTAATAAGCATTCAGTAAGAGAAACTATGGTAGCAGTGTTGCCCTTAGTATGAGCAATGTAGATAGTGGCTGAGCTGGCAACACTGGGACGACGTGACTGAATGGCGCCCCCCTCCTACAAACTGCCAGACACACTGACCTATCCTCTGTCTACCGTTATCTCTCTCTCTCTCTCTCTTACTTCTTCTCCACTTAGGTCTCTCACTCAGTTCACCACCCTTTCTTTTTTATCCTATTTACGTATAATACGTTTGTGTATTTTTTTACTATGTTGCCTCGGCTTTCACAGACTAGTCATTTTTAAAATATAGAAGATTGTAAGTTTAAATCAAATAAAGTCTTTGGATTAATATAACAATAAAGGCACAGGCGGATCTAAGGGGAGGGAGGTATCTGGCTGAAGATCCCTCTCCCCCAAAAATAGTAAAATATAACCACAACTTATGAAAAAAATATTAAAAAATTATCTCTAAAAGTATTATTATTCGTCAAATTATATTTAATAGGACTTTAAAAATCACTTCAATATCATTTCATATATGAAGTGTTCTTTTTTTATCTTCCAAAGTAATTCTCATATATATGTAAAAAAATAAAGTTTTCGGGCTCAAGCCTGTATAAATAACATAAATATATATGTACTGTGGTTTTTTATAAACCAATTCAAACATTTTATTCCAAATTATTTAATTTTACCATGAACAAGATGTATACGTCTTGCTTTGTAAAAGCAGAATTTTCTACTTTCTATTACTCAGGTCCGGAAAGAATTTAGCGGCATTTTTTTAGGAAAATTTTATTTCTAGGTTAAGTAAAAATATTTATTGCTTATTGTTGCCCAGGTTTAATCTTAATTTACATAAAAAAATATTCAATATTATGAGATTATGATAAACATATATATTTTGAAATATATAACCAAAAATATTTTTGGGAGAGGGCAGTGAAAGCAGTCAGCAAATTTAAGCTCCTTACACACTGACAGGTTCTTTCACAACCATAAAATGAAATTTATCATAATAAAGCCTGGATCAGATAGTTTCCACAAAAAAAAAAAAAGGAAGAAAAAACACCTGTCTAAATACAATTGTTGAAACTGATTCATCTGATTTATCAGTGTAAAAAATATGTAGCTAATGCATCTCATTGTTTGATGTGATGTTAATCATATAAGGAAATTTCCGACCCCTTAACGACAATTGATGGAAGTGAACTACGAAAAAATTATTTCTTTTCTATTTTCTATTAACATTCTTATCTCGGTGAGAATTGTGATTAAAAACTATTTTAAGACACATACTGTGGTCAGTAAAACCCCAGTGGTATCCCTCATAACGCGAAGTATTTTTCACTCTCTCTTCCGGCCATCTTGGAGAGCAGGAAAACGATCACCACTATTTCTTGGAAGCTGTGACTCATCTTTCCGTTAGTGTTTACCTTCAAATATTTCTCGGTATTGCGTTTGTTTAATTTCCTATTGGCTTTCCAGTTAATCGGGTAATGGTGGACAGCTTGTTCTTTTAGTCTGCCAAATGCTCCCAATCCTTTCGGATGCGCGGTACAGTATTAAAGATGCCTCGCGTTGTAAAAGGCGTCAATCACCGAAAATCGATAAGCCTAGATACGAAGTTGAAAATTCTCGAACGAATAAATGAAAATGCTGGTGCATCGGCAGTAGGCCGCGAATTCCGGATGGCCGAATCGACTATTCGCACTATAGTGAAGAATAAGGATAACATATTGCGATCCAGTCAATCAGCAACGCCTTTATTAAAGGTGAGTCGTTCGAGAGGAGCAATCTTTGAGAAAATGGAGAATCGGCTGTCTACATGGATCAAAGAGATGAACCAGCGGGATATACCGGTGACACAGGCCATGATAATGGTTGAAGCTAAAAGAATTTTCGACGACCTGAAGGAAGTCGATGAGACATCAGGAGTCGAGTTCAAAGCTAGTCGTGGATGGTTTGACCGCTTCAAGCGTCGAGCCAATCTTAAGCTTGTTCGTCTAAGCTCTGACGGTAATCTCGAAGCTGGCGAGTTGCCGAGAACTTTCAAGGCGGTAGGACGACTTGACGACAACTATAGAAATTTTGATCTTAAGAGAGACCATAACGTTCTTTATAGGAGAAAACGTCAAGTGCCCGGTCACGGTTTCAGGAAAGTCAAAAAAGAAATTATTTTGCGGCGTAAAAACTTACGAAGGAAAAATTGTAAGAAAGGTAATATTAGATAATTATTTGTTCATTCCTTTATCGTTATTATTCTTATAAAAGCAACTTTGCTTCTTCCGGGAGAGTAGTTCAGAGAAAGCATTGGTTTTAGAATCAGAAATAGCCGTGAAATAATTATTATATTAAATTTGTTCGTTTTTTATAGAATTCGATAATATTATTAATAGTCAATAACGAAGTTCGCGCAAAAATTGGTGTTCATATTTATTTCAGGATAAATTTTTGATTGCTAATTCGTATTATGAAAGCTAGTGTTTCAGGTCCTATTTGGAAAATTTTTTACAGATTTACTAAAGGATTTTTAATTAAAGATCATTTTATTTGTTTTAGTTTATTGATATGACGATTAAAATGGGTGAATACCCTCCGTTGTAATAGTCTGATCAGTTTCCCCAATACACATAATGTTGGGCTGCTTATTTTATAAAATTTAATTACTTGTAAGGTGTTCGTTAGTCTAAACACAGAGCGAAAGCTCATTTTTTCAGCGATACTAATTCATTTTTATACACTGATGTAAATTTTCAATATCCTTATTAGTAAATGTTGATTTTTTCACAAGATTAGTTTGTCATTAATTAAATTACAATTAGTTAAAACTGGAAGTTGACTAATGGAGTTGTCCTAGATCATAAAATGGTTGTTATTATTTAAAACTCGGAAATATGGTCGTAAAATAAAAGTAGCATCTCAAAGTCATAAAAAAATAAAAAACAAAAATAATAATTTTTCTTTTCCTTGAATGTAATAATCATTCTATTTTGAAAGTTTTTTTTTTTTTTTTTTTGTCTCATGTGCTAAAAGGCATAATACAATTTTATTAAGTGATTTAATATATTAAATAATTTAATTTCAAACAAGTGATTTTACGTCCGTATTTAGATTTAACCATATGAGAAAAAATCAATAGATCAAAATCGGCATTTTCATTGTTCCCTGTTAGGATGATTCACAGTGCATCATATCTGCCAATAATTACTCTCCTTATTACCAAACCTTTTTTAAACACATCAAGTAAATTTCTGAGATGGGATTACGGATTAGTTCCAGGATAAATAGAAAATAAAATCCAGATTATTGAAATACAAAGTTGTGCATGTTTCCTTGTAGATAAAAGTTGTCAATAATTTTATTAATTTTACGGTATGGGAATAATTCACAATGAAATTCCACCCAGAATATGTGATATATATACATATATGTAATCCCACACAGTTTCTTTTAGAACCTTTAGGGTTTGGTTGTCCCTTCCAGGAAGGTGGGTCCTTCGGAGCAGGTAACTGATTCCACTACCTGCCCTTATCCTTTCATCATTTATTCCACAACATGCTTAAAGGATTTTTTTTTTATTTGTTGCAGAGAAGACAAGCTCGCCCAGGGTCACTCTTCGCCTTCATCAAATCAAAGAGAGGAAAGAGAAGGCGAAATCTGGTGCAGGAGTTGACAAAACAGGGCACCATGACAACTATAGCAATAGGTAAGATGAATGGAAGACATAAATCTATGTTTATAAAAGGAAAAGTAATTAACATTATAAATGTATATCTGTATATTTTAAATTAACAGAGTAATGATATGTATAATATATAATATATTCATCCCTCCATTGTAGTAATGCAGAGTCGGGCTTAGGGTGGGGCAACCGGGGAAATTGTCCCAGGGCGCTTATTGGGGGCGCCGGTGGATCTTCAGAGGGACTTGCCACTTGTAAGAAATAGAAAAAAAAGTTACAATATGCATTAAAATAATTTATTTTAGCCTACCAATAAAGCAACTGTATTTAAAAAAATGTTGAATGCAATAAAATATAATTGTTGCATAACATAAAGCAGCTTAAGAAATAAATTTATTTTTTTAGGGGGGATGATGTCATTGTTCGGGAGCACTGTAGTAATGCACGTACTTTTAATTAAAATTATCTGTGCCTTCCAAACTATAAAACTGTATTCTTCTACTATGATGAAAAGAAATTAAAATTCGCAACTTATTGATGTTGTCCTTGCTATAAACTTCTCCACGGTCTTAATTATCTAGCTATTAATTTCCCTAAAACTCTTAACCTAAATACCTATAAAATTTTCCTTATCCGGACCACGATTTGCCGGACATACGCCGAATAGATTATTTAATTTTTCAAACTTAATATTAATTTACTTTGGTTGGTTTTGAGATAATATACAATAAATAAATTTTGACTTAAATAATTATCTTTAATATTTTACACAATTCCCTTTAATTCAGTTTTTCGGTTATAGGCGAACTCATATCTAGTCCAGATAAGCATTATTCCTATGTACATAATACATAAGGTAGTTTTAATTAATTTAAGAAGAAATAACAATACAGATTCTTTTTTACAATGATTTAAATTTATCATTCAATTTTCCTATAAAACCATTCATTGAACCTCGCTTTATGGTAAACAAAGAAAATAAAAGATAAATGGGCTTGAACATAAATGAAGAGAGCTTATTTGAATGGCAATTTGATTGATGATAGATAATATGACATGGTTAACATGTCAAGAAAATAACATTGAAAAAAACAGAAAGAATTTTTTTAAAATTAATTATTTTATGCCTTTCAACTCATATTTTCAAACGTCTATTGGGAATATTCCTCATAATATTGAATTGGACATTTAGAAATGTAAAACCATTGAATAGATCGTGTGTGAAGAAAAACTCAGTGAAGACCAAACGAAAGAATATATATATATATATATATATTATTAGAGAAATAATATGTTTGAAAAAATAATGCTATAATAAGATTATAATTCTCTTATGGGTGTCTTCACACATAGGCATAAAGGGCAACACGCACCGATGAAAAAGCAAAAGAAAATGCAAGAAGTTTTTAGGCACTTTTTTTAAAAAATCCACGCTTCTAAATGAATGGTAAAAGAAGATTAGAAGTAAGATAGAGATGATATAGAATGAAGAGAAATGTGAGAAAATCTACCATTTTATTTGTCTTGTTTTTCTTCTTTGTCTGGCCAAAGAGTACAACCAAGCTTGGTTGCCTCCAAAAAGCATAAAGTTCGAAGGGATGCTCCATAATAAACAGACTGAATATAGGACTCACGAAGCAGACTCATTCCCATCTGCTTTTGATACTACATCAATAAACACGCCAAAACTTTGAATATGAACCTCTTGCTGTATAACAAGCTTTAACTTAGATATCTTCAAATTACGAAAATATCGAAAGCAATAGACTCAATATTGAAAACCTAGCTCCACAAAAAGAAACCGTGGAATTAATAAAACGCACAAATATCTCCAGGTAACAAAATTAACTCATCTCGTTTAAGATGAACAGTCATCGCTAATTCCATGACAGTCGAGGCGGGGTTGAAGCAATTAAAAAATATATGCTGCAGGGTTCTGAACAATAAAATAAGGAGAATTCAAACAAGTTTAGAAAGGGTTTAAAAAAAAAACTCCGGAATTTTGTTAAATCTAAATATGTCAAATAACATAATTGGTAATTGGTTGACTGTCGTGGATAATGAAGAGAAGAATAGTTGGGGTGCTCAGTCAAAAAAGGAAGGCAAAAATAAATTATAATATTTATTTTTTACATCTGCCGACGTTTCGACCTGAAGTTCAGGCCATCATCAGGGCCTTCTCCTAAAATGTCAAAGTGAGAATCACTTTGATTCTCACTTTGACATTTTAGGAGAAAGCCCTGATGATGGCCTGAACTTCAGGTCGAAACGTCGGCAGATGTAAAAAATAAATATTATAATTTATTTTTGCCTTCCTTTTTTGACTGAGCACCCCAACTATTCTTCTCTTCATTATGTCAAATAACATTCGTTTGTTGAGCGTGGCTCATCAAATATTGGGAAGAAAACAGCAGAAATTATTGGTATGGCAAAGAGTATAACTAAGTTCTCTCTGAATCAGAATGAAACTGATACAGAGAGTAACGTGAACCACCATAGAGGTCTACAAAGAAAAGGGGTCAAGCTATGCAAATCGTGTAGGAGAAAGTAAAAAAACAGAAACATTTGAGAAGATACAGGAGGAATTTGATGAGAAGAATGTTAAGTAATTTTACTGGAGATGGTTAAAGATGTAATGGCAGGATATGCACCAAGGCGTGCATTTTATAAGGATGAATAAGTAAAACCACGAGGAAATAGCAATAAAGTACTTGATAAATGGGTGAAATATTTCCAAGATTATTGAATGTAAACAGGATAAAAGGTGTCAGTTGTACGGAAGAGTAGCAGGAAAAAGAGAGTAAGAAGAGAGACAAGAGAAAGGACATAATTGTATTTCTGAAAAAACATAAGACCCTAGGTACTGATTCAGATCGACTGAACTTCACAATTGTGGTGTGGCACAAATCTATTAATTTTAAGTGAGGCTAAGGCCCAACTAAGTGTTGTAATGTGAGAAAAAAGGTTAAATTTGGAAAAACAATGTAGATAATATAAAAACATGAAGGTACCCATCGTATGGCTATTGAATAAGAATAGAAGCTAAAATATTGTTTAAAAAAATCATTACCTTTTTTAAATTAAGTTTTAAATGAAAGAAGGGTTCCAGAAAGCAGTGAGAACGACCTTTTGGAAAGCAGAAAATTATAAAGAATGAGAATTTACTAAGCCCAAAACAGAAATCAAATAATTAAATATTGAATTAGTCATATTTCTTAACGAGTTTGAGTAAAAATCTTAAAGAATATCAAAATAGTGATATATTGGTGATCAATGGCATAGCTTATATTTTTTAAATAGTACAATTCACAGAAAAAACTTAAAACTACTACGGAGAAAAATTGATAATCTATAATAAGTAACATGGCTGTTAAATTAAATTTAAAAACCGAATGATCCACAAATTGACTGGACACTACGACTTCAGTAGTAAAAGAGAGTATCGATTACCAGTTGCCGGCTACAGCTGAAGTAATATAACAATTGTAACCTCAGTGGGAGGTAATTCCCCCAGGCTTCGTTCTTTGTTTGTATGTTTCTTTGTCTTAAACTGAATGGAGTTTGTTTCTCTTCAAGATTTCTTGTGAGCAATGTTTGAAGCCGTTTGGAATTTCGTTAATTATATATTCAATAAAGAAAGGTCAGTTGCAAACTAATAAACATTTTCCATCTAAACATTGGTGTTTGAACAGGGTATGTTCCACATTCATCATCATACCATTTGATATTATTTGTATATCTCGGTCATTCTCGTTGATACCATTAGCTTAGATAGATGAAATTAAATCGTACCAAAAAATAAAATTTTATTAATAATTACATGTTAATTTTGTTTGCTAAAAAATATTAGTTTTCAATTTTTATGATTAACACAAATATTCTAGTTGCTAAGTAATTAGTCCTAATGGTAGTAATTGTTTAATTTGTTGTAAAAAATGTTATTCCTATTATTATTCTGAACTTAAAGTTATACTATAAATATTTAATTAATCTGAAACCATCCAGCTTTAAAACACTGTTCAATCATTTTTGGAAGTTTGAAAACTGTGCCATTAGTTCAGTGCTCTAAAGATTTTCTTCTACCGAATCGATCGAGTTTATTTGGTTTTTATAATTTTACAATGGAAACACACCTATGATATATTTATTCTACTCTTACAATTAGTTTATATGTATCTTATGTTATTTAACAAAAGTGTTTGTTTTATGCATTTGTAGCATGGAAAGCAGCAAAGGAAGTGAGGATGTTGCTACAAATAAGGAGCCAGGGGCTGCCATTGAAGAAATGGAAACGGATAGAGAACAAGGAGCCAAAGACTCATCTGTTAGCAGTCCCAAGGAAATGATTGAGCCAGATGTCGCTCCTGTAAAGAGATCTCATTCGACTGAGGATGAAGGAACCCCAGAAGAAAGCAGAAAGAAGAGGAGGAAAGAAGGAGGTATAAATACTTTTGTTTATATCAAGCAGTTTTATTAGTAATCATTCAAATTGGCTTTTTATTAGTAAATAAGCCATTCATTATTTTATTCTTAATTGTAACTAAAAGTTTTTTGGCACAGCGTTGGCACACTACCTTCATTGTAGCATGGCTCATTTTTTGCAGATTTAATGTGGATTTAACCCTGGTCCTTTACTCTGATTAATATTAAAATTATAAATTATAAAAATATTAAAAAGAGTTGATAGCATTATTATTTTATTTCCCCACTCTTTAAAACAATAAATGACAGAATTTACAGTGTACTTATAATTTTGTATATGTTTTATCACTTAATTTTTCGCTCTGCTTTCTAACTTTTAAAGAAGCTCTCTTCTATAGCCCCTTTATTATGATGGATTAATTTCTCCTTGACTCACTTTGTAACTAGAGTCCACGAGACTCAATGCGTACCACTCTTTATGAATCATTTTACTGAATGAGACTCCATTTGTAGGTAAAAGTGGGAGTAACAGTGGAGGCAGTCCGAAGTCTGTGATTGAGAGTGAAGGAGAAGACGCCAAAAGTGTTGGCTCCCCTGGACCTAAGGTTTGTTAAATTCTGGTTTCTATTGAAATTTTAATAAATTACTAGACTTTTGAAAATATATGGTATTATTTTATAAAATTTTATTACAGTGTTATCAATAAATGTTTAAATTTATTTTTATTGTGGTAGGTCCCTCCTTTAAAAATAGTAATTGCTGGTGTCTCACTTGAGGAACCAGGGAGTGGACGACCTGGGAAAAATGGTGGATCTAGACATCATCTTCCTTATGTTGTGTCAACTAGCAGTGGAGGAGAAGGTGAAGCAACATCTCCACCATCTGATGATCATGAGGAACATGGAAAAAGAGTCCTCAGATCGCACAGGTTAGCTAGATTTTTTGTTCTTACAACGAAGTTGTCTATGGACGGATCATAAATAACTAATTAGTTATTTTTAAATTTACTTGTTTGGATCGAAACGTGGCCGCTTACATTAAGGGATGAACAACGGCTTAAAGTTTTTGAAAATAAAGTATTGTGCAGAATATTCGGACCGTAAAAGGATGATTCAACCAAAGAATTTAGGCGCTTACACAACGCTGAATTGCGTGAACGGTATCCGGTTAATATAATTGAGGTGATTAAGTTTAGGCGAATAAAATGGGCTCAGTAACGAAAGAATTCCTAAAAAGTTAATATGCGCTGTACCGACTGGCAAGCGTCCGAAGGGAAGACCGAAGCGAAGGTGGGTAGATTGCGTTAAGGCTGATTTGGCGGGTTGGGTTTTTGAAGGAGCCCGGTGGTTGGAAGAATGTGGACATCAATTGGTGGTATCGGCATCGAACCTTCGGATTCGCTAAGCCTTGTTATTATTATTATTATTATTAACTTGTTTGGATGTCTTCAAGAATTTTTAATAAAGTATAGTTAACTTTTTACTTCATTTTTTTAATTTCTTTGGTTATTCTGTATATCTTGAGGAGAGACAAATTGTTATTTTAAAGATTTAAATGCAACATGCCTGACCAAGATACTGGGCTCAGCATTTTTAAGGCCTTCAATGTACCATATTTGAGATAAACTTTAATGCTTGTCGAAATATAATGCCGCCTGCTAGGTCCCAAAATTGCGTTTATTTATTAGAGAACGGATTTTCGTGCAGTTCAACATTCAAAATGTGCAAAATCTTGCATATAAAATCCAAAAAGAGTAAAATTGTATACATAACACCTTATATAAGTATGAATCATATTTTTTGTTTTAAATTAATAAATATTATAGGTGATAAAATTAATATATGCAATGCTTATCTACTCGTATATTAGAACTTCAGCCTCTAAAGCGAAGTAGGCTTAACGTGTATTAACATTAGAAAAAATTCTAGTTTTGAGTCAATATGAACGCCAATTAACCTTAATCTAGATCAGGATTCTCCAAACTATAGCCTGCAAGCATATCCAACCCGGTCAGCAAAAGTTTTAATTGACAGTTGCGGATAAATAAATGAAAGTGTAAAAATAAAAATATGTATATTATAATAGTATTTCCTTCATCACGCGATGTTTCTATCCACTTTGTAGGTCCTGATCAGGGCTACAAAATATATAAAATATAAAAGGTACAATGTAAAAATCAGACAACTGTTACTAGTTTAATATAATTTCTTTTATTTTAACTTAGTAACTTTTATATTTTGAATCTTCTGTAGCCCTGATAAAGACCTGCAAAGTGGATCGAAACATTGTTACCAATAAAATACTATTATAATATATTTGACTGTACCCCTGATCAACTCCTCAAATAAAGTATCTTGTATATTGTTTATAATATAACTTTATCAATAAAAAACATAAAATATATGAGGTGACTTCATTGAATGCCTTAGCATGTCGGGGAACAGAGAATAATGCTGCAGGCTAAATGATCAATGTAGTTCTCTTTTCTCCTCAGGAATGTTAATAGAATTTGGTTTTCCATCCTATTGTTAATTTTAATCCATGGCATGTAGAATAAATTTTTCTACATGCTGTTGTAAAATTAATATAGCTTCTAGATTATTATTTGCTGTCATAGGTCTGGTGGTGGAAGTGGAAATTCTTCACCAGCTGCTGCAGCTGGTGAGACACCTCCCAGATGTGGAATAACATCTCCCCCTCCTCAGCAACCAGAACCAGAGGAAAAACCTGCTGAGGACCCCCCTCCAGTGGAGCTACACCCACGTAAGAGGAAGCTGAGGCCAAAAGAAAGTGCGGCCAATAACACAGGGCAAACAAATACCAACCAAACTCAGTCGGCTATTGACCAGCCGGAACCTCAACACTTCAGTGATCTCGCTTTCAGCAATAGCTACCAACTCTTCCTCAACATACGAAAACAGGTAAAAAATCTGTTTGTGTTAAGAAACTACATTTATTGTGAATGTTTATTGTAGTGGATAGTTTCATGATGCACATTTTCGAAATTATAACCACTGTTCTGTTTGAGATGCATTTTACATTCCAATCAATAAGGGCCTATAATCATTGAAGTTTTCAGTGATAAGAGCTTTGTGAAGCGTTCCAAAATTGCACCTGCTTTTAAAATGGTGTGATCATTACAGACCTTTTTCCTCCTGATCCTTTGGTGCTGTAATACTTTATCACCATAAAGATGATTAGTTAATATTTTTTTGTTTCTAAGGATTTAAAAAATTCCTGTGATGTTCTGATCATGTCACTAGTAGTGGTATTGTACCTGATCGGAGAAATTAATCTTCTTTATTGAATATTTATTAGTTGACCGTTGCATTATAAAGGAAGATTATGGTCAGGGGTGGCGGTCATAAATAGGCTAAATGGTTTTTCCACTATTTAGCCTATTTTTGACTGCCACCCCGGACCATAATCTTCTTTATGTGCCTTTTATCCCCATTTCCTATTCCTGGTGGCTTCTTAGAAGTTGTTTCCATATCCTAACCAGAGTAGGAATGTCGAGATTTATTTCAGAGAACCACCACAGCCTTCTCCATCATTTTATAGAACAGTTAATATGAAAAAAGATACATTTTTAAGTGATAAAAATAATTAAGATTTCAAACTGCTCTGCAGTTATAGAAAACATATCTGTCAACAAAACCAGTTATTGCACTTTTAGTCTTTAAAAGTAGTTTCATTTAATTGTTTTTTAAAACATGATTTCAAGAACTAGCGCTGCTTAATAAAAAATATTTCTTTTTTGAGAGACGTAATATATATATATATATATATATATATATATTATATATATATATATATATATATATATATATATATATATATATATATATATATATATATAAAGCTTTGTAATATTAATCAGAAATTAAACTTTCAAATTTGTTTCTTTGAAAATATCTTATTGAATTTTTAATTATCAGATTGAAAGGAAGCGGAAAGGTTTATTCCCTGTTCAGCCGAAGCCTCCCCAAGGTTTCAAGGATTACCTGATGAACAGATGTACCTATGTACTAGCGGGCAACGCAGCTAACAGGGTACCTCCACCTAGCACTAATCCTCCAGCCTCTGTTCCTGCTCAGCTGAAGGACCTTTATATTTCTCAGGAAAAAGAGAGACATAGGTTACTTATGCAGGTAAGTTTTTTTTTTTTTTTTTTTTTATTCTAGTCTAATATATTCACATTAAAATTATTAAATAAAATCAATTGTCAGAGTACATGTTTTGAACCAGCACCTTAGGAATGTCAAGAACGGGTGTTTGTTCAAATCTGTTCTGGTGAGGATTGACTTTTATTAAGTGATGGTGATGTACCCACTGAATAAATTTTGACGTTGCCACACTGACTAGAATAGCTTGCTAACCTATAGGATTGCCAATCCTTCCTTTCCTACTTGAACTTCTTGAGGATGTCAAACCAATAAACAAATTATATATCATTCCAAAATTTAACATTGATAAAAATATGAATAATTTGATTGCTTTAAGAATTGTTCACTCTGGTAATTCCAATGTTAATTAATTAATTTTATTTCAGCATGTGATAGAGAAGGAAAAATTGGTGTTAAGTGTCGAGCAAGAGATCCTCAGGGTTCATGGACGTGCTGCTAGAGCTCTTGCTAATCAAGCTTTACCCTTCTCAGCGTGTACGATCCTCCGTGATGAGGAAGTATACTCTGCAATAACCCCAGAGCAGGAAGAAAAGGACAGGAATGCCAGGTCACGCTACAATGGGCGTCTGTTTCTCTCTTGGCTTCAGGATGTTGATGATAAATGGGAAAAAATCAAGGTGACATTCTTAATCTTTTTGAATATATCTACTTTATTTTTATACTTTTTCCTTACTTTCCTAATTCATTCATAAACTTTAAATGAATCACTCTTTGTTTTCAAAAGGGATTTAGATCCTACAAAAATATAGAACCTAATGCCTCTTGTTTGATTAAAAATCTTAGTTTGCATCTTTAATTGTGTTTCTTCCGATTGGGATTAATTAATTCCCAATTAGACTCAACGTTACAAGCACCCTTTTAGCACTAAGTGATTCAGTTAATTATTTAGTTTTAATGTAATTTTGTATAATATTATTTTAACATTCATTACAAAAATTATTTATTTGATTTCCAGGAGGCAATGCTTCTGAGGCATCATAACGAAGCAGAAAGTCTCCATGCAGTTCAGAAAATGGACTGGGAATGGAAGCTGAAGGAGGTTGGTCTTTGTGACTTCAAAATGAAACCAGTTATCGATGATAACCATGTCCCAATGGTTCATGTCAGCGATGACTTCGACCTCCTCCCAGCTTAGGTGATTAGTTTTTCTTTTATAATTTTTGTCATCAGTCAGTTTTTGGCACATTTTATTTATTGATGTTGGTTTTTGATATGAATATTAACCATGTACACAACAGAAAGAAATATTGGTTTGAGGAATAAGTAATTTTGCTTTATCTCAATGGGTGACTTTAAAGTCTCTCATCTCTTCTAATCCTTATTAAATGAAGCCGTTCTATAGTGCGTTTGAATGATCATAGTCCATAGAATGTAAATAATAGTTATTCTTCTTTAAAAATGGAAGTTTCAGAATGTCGTTTTTGTCATATTTTGCTATTTTACTTCCGAAGAAGAAAAAATGTAGTCTAGGCTCATTGAAAATGGTATGATGTTTATGGTGATATGTGCTTAAACGAATATCAGTGTTAGAATTGGTTTGCTTGTTTTCGTTCTGGAAATTTTTAGGTTTAACATGAACCTTCCCCTGGCCGCCCAATCGTTGTTGAAATTCTTCAAAAAATCGAGGTCTCACGAGATATCGTAGATAGTTGTAGTGATAACTACAAAATTAAACATCAATCATAAAACAGTTTTGAACCATTTACCTTAAGGCTGGATTCCAAAAGACGCTTAATACTAGTGTTTCACATAGAGAAACAAAATTTTAAATAACCGAGCTTCTATTTGTGAATAATAATGAAAGGAATCGAGCCATTTTTGAAACAAGTGATTGTGAGTGATGAAAAGTGGACCACGTACGACATTAATGTGTGAAAAAAATCGTGGTCAAACCTCAGAGAAACTTCCCTAACAGTGGCGAAGTCCTGATTGACGCCTAGGAATGTGATACTGAGTGTTTTGTGTGACTGAAAAGGAATTATTCATCATGAGATGGTCAAACCATTAACTAACTCTGCTATGAACAACTAGTGTGATTGAATCAGTAGATCAAGAATTGATCAATAGGAAAGGCATTGTCTTCCATCACGACAATGCTAGGCTATACATGTTTAATGACCTGGAAAATATTGAGAGAGCTTGGCTAGAAAGTTTTGATTTATCCACTGTATATTGCCCGGTCTGACTATCATTTATTTCGTTCACTGAAGAACTATCTTAATGGTGTAGAGCTGGCATTAAAAGAGGATTGTGAAAATCACTTGGTTCAATGTTTTGCCCTGAAATCTCTGAACTTCTAAAGTGGTGGACTTATGGTTTTACCAGAAAAGTGACAGAAGGTCATCAATCAAAACGGCTCATACAAATATGTCATTGGTTAGTGTTTAAAGTCTATATAAATATATTCACTTTGAAAAACATGAAAAAAAAACTAGATTACTTTTTCCTCAATCCATTTTTTGAGCCCAATGATCATTATGATAATTATTTTCTTGTTAGACTTTTGACTATCTCAAGTATGAAAACTCATGATTTATTAAGGAAATAAACAATTTGATATCTAGAATAACATCGAGGATTTTTTTTTTCCCCCATAAGTTGAGAATTTTTTTTCCTTGTTTTAAAAAATTAATAAATAGAAAGAAAAATTTATTTTTTTTTAATCCAATTTTGATTGTTTTCACTTTGGCAATAATAATTAACATATTTATTTCTTCTGTGTTTCAGATGTGATATTATTTTAAGTACGGACAAGTGCCAATAAGCTTTAGACACTTATGATGGAGATTATAAGGTGTAAATTTAGACTGAATATATTTAATTATAATATTTGTATAATGTATTGTAAATAAGATATAAATATTACAGATTACGTATTGTATATGTGTATAAAGTTTACCATGTACAGAAAAATATAACATATCTAATGAATTTTTCTTTTATTATTCATTACCTTCTAACCTTTTTTTATTTCTGCACCATTTTTCAATGTTCTATACTGAAAAAGTTTTAAAAATAAAAATTAGAAATTTGTCCATTCTACATAATTGCTTACTCAATTACCTGTCGAACATTTCATTTAATTTTTAAACAAAGAATTCCGCTCAACTAGTTTAACAATATTAGTTTTAGAATTATTAAAGTTGAGAAAAACAATTTTATGTGACATAGCTTCATTTTAAACCAATTCTGATGATTTTTTCATAATTTAACTTAAACATTCTAAAAAAAAAATCATCAGAAACAGTTTGAATTGAACCTATAATACAAAAATTGCATTTTTCTCTACTTTCTGGAAATGGCAGATGTCTTTGAAATGAAGCCACTAATATATTTTCATATATTTAATTTTATGATTAATTATTAGTATATTTAATGTTCATCTTTGTGTTGATTATTTTATGGCAAATGAAAATGTAAATGTTCGTTTGTTCAAAATGTTAAATTTCCGAAAGATTCTTCACCGATACCTTTAAAATTTTGCCCAACTGTTGCACACGAGTGGTTATAAAACCTTTACCAGGCACTTTATAATAGTAGGTATATAGAGTGCCAGGTAAAACTGTATAAATTTATTAAAAGAGTACCATCTGTTGCATGTTAAAGCAACGCATGCTTGTTAAAATATTTTACAATACCATTTCATTGTTTCAGATTTACAAATATTAAATGTGACATTGCATTGAAATAGAGCTCTACTGTTCACCATAGTGCTAATTTCATGTGAATTAGAGTTATCTTCCATCTACCCCCTCCTAAGACTGCTTTTTAAAAACAATTTGTTTAAACGTAGAGTTATAAAAATTGTAGTAGAAAAGTAAACCTTACTCATTAAATAAACCCCTTATGATAAACACCACAGCATTATTCCAAATTATGTTACAGAAAATAATTTAAACATTTAAAAATAAAATAAATTGAAATCTATGAAAAACTGAATCTCAAAGCAATGTAGAACATAAAAAGGTGATAATTATTACTCAAGGATTCACTACTATATCAAATACTTGAGATGTATCATACTGCTTCCGGAACAGATTGGGAAAAAATATAAAAAGCATTTAATACTATTGCCCTACATAAGGAGAATTGTATCAATTCATAAAATGATAATCTAAATTACTTCAGTCATTTTAAAATTTTCGATTAATCAATAACCAAAAAAAAGGAAATGGTCATTGCCGAATTTAAGTACCAATTGTCTAAAATCTCTGCACCTAATCGTCCAATTCCGATGGGTTTTTTTTTAATTTGTGAGGAATTCAGGAATATTTCCATTAATTATTTGTATAATCAAGCAAAAATTAAATACTTTTTGAGTTGTTCGCAAATAAAATTCTTAATTCATTGTAATATTTTTTGCAGCTTGTTTTCGGGAAATTATGTTAGATACATAAATTTAAAAGTTTCAAGAAGGCTTTAGGCAAGTTTCATTAAAATCGTTACAGCCGTTTTTGCGTGATATTTTAAAAGACTTACGTTTTTCGGTCGCCATTTCATAATCACACGCTCATTCAGTTGCCGGTAATGAAATGTTCATAAAAACACTCCTGAACGCCATTGCAAAGACATCTCAAAATTTTAAAGCAATCTGTGAGGAAATTTCAGAGATTAGCGGTTTGGAACAAATCAACATTTTTATTTATTTTTTGGCACAGCATGGCGGGTGTGTACGTAACAACTTTCCAAAGTTTCATGGTGATCAGAGGAATGGTTTAGTAATGCATATAGGGCAAACAGACAGAAATACATTAATTTTTGTATGTATAGATTTATTCTAGTTTCATCAAAAAATATTATTACTTTCACTTACCTATATATGTAATATATAGTAAGGGAAAGTATTGCGATCGTGAAAATTTTTGTGAGTTTTGAGTTTTCCATGGAAATACACATTTTGAGGTCCCTTGAGTCCAAATAACCGAGTCCCGCAAAGAGGTGTGTGTATATGAACAGTCTAGCTCAAAAATGAAAATGACTATATAGAAAAATTTACTTTTCGCAATTTTCTATAGTATATTGTATATAAGACAACATGCATGTGTATACAATGGCTTACATTATATGTATATATATATATATATATATACGGATCGAGAGATGTGTAATATCAAAAATTGCGAAAAGTAAGTTTTCTGTATAGTTTCGGAGTTTAATCATTAAGTTATAATTGCTCTAGCCTTTGAATGGTTTAAGATAAGATAGAAAAGTAGTATATATTCTTTACTACATATTAAAGTAGTATATATTAAAGGAACTTTAATATTAAACAACTTTCTTCCTTATGACTTTTTAGTAAAATGAAAAGATAAATAGTTGGCAAGTCAAATAATGATAAAAATGCGATGCAAATTTTTTTTTTTTTAGAAATTAGTGAATTACAAGGATGGTATCAAGGAAATTATAGCGAAAAAACGAATATAACCATTTCTATTACAAATTTTGTCAACTTTAATTTCACACTTGACATTATTGTAACGCAGAGTTTCACTCATTTAAGTGAAGAACCGAAATAAGTAACAGTTTTGAATCGTAAATTCAATTTTTCGACTTGAAATCCACTGGTATAGGGTAACTGACTATTATTTCATGTCTTAAGACCTTAAATACTATAAATTGAAAGGATTGGTAGCTTTATATATCTATAAGCCCTATATATAGGCTTACAACATATGTAAGGTCTCTACCTATCTTCAGATGACCGCCATTTTGTATTCCAACGGCTATATGCTGGCATACGTGAATTTTTCTTATCTGGCCTGTGGATATGATCAATTTATTAGGACAAAGCGTAGTATGAAATATGACACCTTTTTTGCCACAGGTTCCAGGAATATTTTCCGGTATTCCCATGAGCACTTTGACCCACATTAATATTTGTTATTTATTGTTTTTTTTTTGCATTAAAGTATTTTTTTATAACATTGGCCAAAATGTTTATATTGCTGTTATTTTTAATTTCTAATAATGAGTTCATACTGTCAGTTATTATCACAAATTTATTTTCACTAGATCTATTTATAAAACCGAAAGCTTGTAATATTGCATACATTTCATCATTTTAAATAAATGTTATGTTTGGTACTTTTTATTGAGCGGACTATTTATATTTTGGGCAGGATACGGCAGGGCCAC